TCATTCAAATCGTATTGTTCAAATTGCACCAAATGAAAATATTTCAATGTATTTACCGAAGTACAACTCTCCACTAGCCTGACGTGACAAAAAGATTTATTTATTTTTTAAACCATAAACAACAATCACTGGGATTGGTATCATGTATTTATTTGAAACTATGCGGAGTGTGTAAAAACACACAAAAAACATTCGCTAAACCTAAACAATTCCCACTAGGTAATGAATATAAACGAAATTTTGATATTTACATCCATTATTTACTTTACCTTGTCACTATTGGAAATAGTTTTAGAAATTGCCCTCAAATGTTAAAAAATAATATATTAAGTGCTTGATACACTTAGTGGTAATGATCGTAAATTGTTTGTAAAATCTAGAATAGAAAATCTATAATAATAAACTATATAAACATTTGGCCTAATTTCAAAACTATTATTAGAAAACCACGTCATCCATAAAATGAATGTAATGTAAAATGCAGTGTGTATTCGTCAATTTCGTCGTTTTCATCATTTCGTGTATAGAAAAGTGCGAAACCATGTATGTATTTATATCTATACCTTTATTATCTAATAAACTTCACTTATGTGTGTTGTTTGTTTTACAAATCCAAAAAATAACCACCCCAACTTAAATCGTGCTATAAAAAAAAACTTGCACCTTTTATTTCAAATGCATTAGATAATATGCAGTGTTAGTAGTATCCAGAATGTTTATATCATGGTATTAAAGTCTGCCATTAGCACTGTTCAGTTTTCTGGACGCGGACTAACCCAACCCAACCTAACCTAACAATATTGAGTCCTTTACAAGTATTAAATTTTCCATTAATAGTATCTAATCTTCTGCTAGCAGTATTATATTTCCTATTCTCAATATTTAGTCGTCTGCTAGCAGCAATTAGTCTTCTATGAGCAATACGAAGTCTTCTAGTAGCAGCATCCAATTTTCTGAATGCTGTACCGAATTTTTGATAAGCAGTATCTAGTTTTCTGCCGGTAGTACAGTCTACAGAATTATTAAGTTCGCAGCATTTAGACTTCTGCCAGCTGTATCTACTCTTCTTCAAGCAAAACCTAGCCTTCTATTAATTATATGTAACACCGACAACTAAAATTGTACCACATGGAATTGTTTGGAGCTATACGACGTAATATTTATATCTTCGATACTTGTATTATAGCAGTGTTTCGAAATGTTTCATTTACTCATATTATACATGACATTGCATGTTTTCGATGCTAATACTGTTTGTATAATTTTCTAATTTAAAAGCATTAGATGCGGCGAATCACTCGTTTCTGGATATCATATTGAATTATGCAGGTGTCTCTTTAATTAATGCTTAATTATATGTAAAATATTCTGCAGCAGGATTAAATGAATATAGTTTATAGCAAATCTCTCTTTACATACGTTGCAAATTTATTTAATATTCCATCTAAATGAAGTAGGTTTTATATCTACATAAAAAGAGGAGTTCCAATTCCCCCTTATCATTATCCCTAAAATTATCTCGGTTTAAAAGAAAAGGAGGTACCAGTTCCAAACGAAGTAATTATGTAACTCGACTTAACAGTGTGTTACAATCTAACACCACGTCGATAAAATCCGTCGCCTTCCTTTAATCACCGACGAGAGTTTTACTTTGATGTACGTTCAACATCCAAACAGATGGAAAAAGCAGCTTGAAATATGCAAACAAGATGCGTACGCGCCTCACAATTAACAATCTCATCTTTTGCGTCTGTTTGGTCTGTTACGGTAAAACAAACTTCGGCGGCACCAAGGGACGTCGTGTAGTTCCGGGTATGTGTTCGTTTCTTTTTGCGAGGGGTTGCAGCGCACTCCCGCATAAACATGCAACTTAAACACGGCGTCGCGACGCTCGAACGTGCGCTAGCCGGTCCGCAACGGTCGCGTATCTACCTCGTTTACGTGCGCCGCCGGATATACATGGTGTGTTTGTGTGTTCTTTCGACTCTGGCAAACAAGGAACCTCTCATGGGAATGGTTACGTTGCGTTGGTCGTTTCCAAACACTGATTTAATTTCAAGTCAATATTGCGGATGATAAAAAATAACCTTTTATTCAAAAATGTTTTGATGTTTTTATGGGCCAAAAAAAAAACTTGAACGGTAATAATAAGCACTAATTACTTGTCGGATGTAATAAGTCCCGACCCTAGCGCGTTTAACCCGCGTTTTACGCTCGATTTTATTAAAAGACGTTGGATATTGCAGCGCTTGAGACCGGTTACCTTCTAATTAAAGCACCTTTGTGCTCGAGCCCTTTTCTCTGCGCTGCATATTTCGCGACCGTTACGCTCGTTAAGGTTGGATTGATTTAATAAGGACTCTGCAAGGATTCTTAATGAAACCCAGTAAAATTGGGTTGTAAAAAAGAAAAAAATTATAAAAATAACTTGGAAAAGAACGTTCAAATTAATAAATTATTAAATATTAAAACTATTTTAGTCGTCATTGTATTGATTAATGAAACATATTGACAAAGTATATTTAAGTAACTATTTAACATAAATATATTTTAACTCTCTATAAACATGTATGGTGCAATACTGTAAACACGGAATCACTGTTTGTGTAACCATTAAACTTGATTCGATGGCGATGTGGCGTCATGTTGTCTTCATGGTAAACGCGAAAGCTCATCGCGTGATTACTAGATGATATGTTGGGACTGACGTATTGATTGCCTTTACACGTTATGTGCATTCTTGTATTAAGGAGAACCAAATGAAATTATGTTATTGATGACAGTTATTGGTTTTAATTAAAAATACTTACTCAGATACCTAATATCAAATCATAAAATTGTGTTTTAAATCAAATAAATATTACAATAAACTCAATTTTATATATCAAGTACCAAGATAAGAGCAGTACACTGCCTCTCATATTCAATTCAAACTCATCTATTTAAATTACGCCTTTTTTATAGACGAGATTCTGGCGAACCGACCATTTTAGACAACATACTACTCACCCATACAACTAGATCATAGAGGTGTAGTTTGACAAAGTTGTTGAGTATCCATCCAATGGCGTTCAATTTCGAGCTTTCGTCCATCTCTGTCTTTTGATGCTTTTTTCTAGTTTGCAGCTCCTAACATGTATTAGCATCTTTCCACATTTCATTCTCCCATCGCATTCTGAGCTTCCCAATCAGTTGCCTGCCTCTAGACCGTCCTCTTCTGCCTCGTTTGAGCTTTATATGTTCTGAAACTCGAGGTTTCTCATATAGTTGGTCCAAGATTTTCCTCTCTAGTGTATTCAATCTCTCTGCGTTTCTTCTTGATGGCAAAAAAGTTATTATTATTGTTGAAATCGCAGTAAAATTATAACAATTTTTTTTAAAGAAAAAGTTGACATTTAAATAAATATCTTTTTAATACCCAAAGTTTACACCTAGTCCTAGATGCATATAGTTTTGGGTAATTAGCTAACGTAAATTACGCTTCTATAAACAGAGACGTGGATATAATAGACCTAAACGGTCCAAATGCAACAATCGGCATTGTTGCCGCTTCGAAAATGATGAATAATGCTAGACTACACAATGGTGTAGTGCGGGGACAGCATCTGAAAGCTGTCCTCGTCACTCGTTTACTTTACTGCTGAATGCGCATTGTATACAAATTGGAGTCGGGTTTTGGTAGGGATATGGTCTGTTTTACCAGTTTTACTTCTTACTGTGACAGTCGAAAAGTGTATTACTTTCATGTTTTAAACACAATAATCGAAAATTTTTTTTTTGTTTTTAAATGTTCTTGAAAAGTTCTTTTTCTCTTTTAAAGGGAGAGACTGGCAACAAGCTTCTTTGGCTTTTTACCTTTTGGGAGCTCGACTTCCGCCCTACCACCAACTGAAAAGGCTGCTCTGTCCCCGCGCGCCTTTTGAATATTAAGCGAGGGCTTAAGAGGACCTCTTCACCGACACGGCCATGCATCATCGCTTTATCACACCCTCTCCGCGATGTTTGCGATACTACTTATTCCCCCTGAAAAGCATATTTTCGCACATCACCTCCTCTTAATTCAATTCGAGAATCGCCCCATTAAAACCACACCATTTAAAACCATTCTTTTCATGTAACTATTTTTTCTTTTTTTTTATCTCGTTTCTTTCATTTCCCTTCTTTACTAACCCGATTTCGACCACCCTAATCTACTTATCACTCCGTATCATCCTGCAGCTAAACGATCTCGGTGCCATCCTTACGAATCCTCCCCTTCTACTACGGGGACATTAGTGGCATTTGTAGCGTTTTTATCTGTCCAACGACACTGACGTCTCGCTACACTAATGACAGTGGCATCCCATTTCGAGAATGCCATTGTGATCCAGTGGGATTATAGCGACGTCAGCACCCTCGGAGTCGGAAATTAGAAAATACGAAACTTCCACATTCAAACAATACAAGGAGATGATACGAAAAAATAATACGAATAAGATAAGAAAATTGCAAATAAAATGAAATAGATAGAGAAAAAACACAATAGAATTCGTTAGAAAAGAGAGGACAATGCAGGTTGAAATGAGCTGCACAAAGAAGAATTAAAGAACTAGCGTTAGAAACGCGGTGTAAAATTACAGAACAGCGTTTTTCTCGATTACGGTTTCGTGGTGGATTCTACTAGAAAGAAATAGTGTGCACTTAAATGGGTGGGGAAAAGGGAAGCACACGAGGTATGAGTATCTCTAGAGATTTGGCCTCCCTTCGCTCGGACCCCCGGTAGGGTTTTCACAAATAGAATTACGCTTCAAACTGCATCCGCGAGGATTCCATTCGATCCATCGTCCATAATTGATACGGAACGTCCGGGGAGTCAACGAGATTAGTCGAAGATCGATTGTCCGAGGCAATGTTTTACTGGGATAACAAGATTAAATTCTTCTAAGAAAAATGTAAACATTCTTCTCTTCAATCCAACATCTTTCAAATAAAAAGTTAAAAAAAGTTTTTTCAAAACTTACATTTTCGAAGAAACATCGTTGAAGTCACTTTTTAACTCGCAATAAGAACTTGTCAAAAACCGAGTATCCCTTTTAGATAAGGAATACTCATAAGAGTATTTGTCGCGTATCCGAACGTTTACAAGAACGGAAATGTATCACGAAGTACCTACGTCTGAACCCGACAACGAACGCGCGTTGACTGAAAGCTGTAAAGCTCTTCAGGTCACGCTATCGACTGCTGGTGAACGTTGTTGCGGCTGTGAGCGCGTCGGGCGCCTCCGAGCGGGTTGCTGCCAAACTACGCGCCCTTCTGGGTCATAAAGGATAACACCGAGGACCTACTTTTGGCGCCGTTTTGCTGCGAATCGCGATTCTGTAGCGTGTTGAATAAGAAAATTACACGGAAAAAAAGGTTAAGATAAAAAAAGTTGAATAAAAAGAAAAGAAATTGAAATAGATTTTACAAAAATATGATTATATTCAGTTCGTATGTAGTAATCACAGACTACTAGAGTGAATTAGCATAATTTTCGTTCGTATTTACATATTTTCGCGCTTAAAACGCTCGTAAATTTCCAAGCTTTCGACGGGTGGCGCTGGCAGACCTCCTAAAGTGCAACGATAGCTAACGCAAATGATTTATTATAAGTGGAAAATGTATATAATACCCATCCTTTTACTTATCAACAATAATATATTGAATCCAACGAAAAGAACCAAACATTTCAAGTAATTTGAAATTATATTTCACGAATAACTTCCAATTTCGATGAAATATTGCAAATCAAAATGAATCGCCTGAAAAAATCATGAAAACAGCGAAATGGTTCGTAAATTCAAGGATCCTAATTGCCAGATGTAGTAAAAAATGAAAAACGACTCTTGAAATTGTGTCGGAAAGGGCATAATTACAAAAAATCACGTTCAAAAACTCGTTATCGTCAGTCGTGAAAGAACAATAACAATTTATAAAATTGGGGGAAATCTGGTTTAGAATTTTTGTAAATCGTAAAAACAATATGTGATGTTTCATTTTCATTGTATTATCAAATTATTAAATTATACAACGAAATTTTTTAATTATCATTGTATAAATAAAGAAAAATAATCCATGATCGTTACAAATTTCCAAATAATCCAAATTTGTTGAATAAACTAGGAAAATGTCAATAGTTTTCGACAATTGACCTGGTTTTTCAGTGGTTTTCAACAAATTGGGGTTGACCAGCACTGCACACAAAAACTCACCGAAAGCTGTTCGTCAGAACGCCTGCAACATTTCACCGAAACTCTATGGAATTTAAAATGGATTAATTCGCATGGCTTGCATTAAACTATCATGAATTTTAAAAATTAACTGATAAAGTAATAAAATTTGTTATTAATTAAATGAATTAACAAAGTAATTTCTTGCATATTATTATTGTTCTCATCACCCTCAAAAAGTAAGATAACAAACACGAAATTTCGTAGAGGTTTACTAACATGTGTTACAAACATGATAACGTTTAAGAATTTCATCCAAAAGATGTTTTGGCCGAGTAGTTAAATAAGATTTGTGGCTTTTAAAATCGTGTCGAAAGCCTTATGGAACTCTACAAATAGAAGAATTACTGCTCTGGTGTAATCCTATCTTGTTCTGTTGGCTGGTAGAACTCAAGTTTATTTTCCAGCCTTGGTACTATGATAGGATACAAGATAGGGATGCAAAATATTAACATAGTTTGCTATGCCGACGACGCCGTTTTGCAAGTAACGAAGATGACCTGCAAAGACTAGTGTATCACTTCAACATAGCAGCTAAGCAATACAATATGAAAATATCAACGGAGATAACAAAATGTATGGTAATATCCAAAGAACCAAGACGCTGCAAACTACAAGTTGAAGACTCTGTAATAGAACAAGTTATGCATGTTACATAACAGAATATGAAGGTGATGAAGATAAAAGTCTTGTGATTTATGTTGAATGTGACACTGCGAGATAGGCAGACCAACACCTCTATCAGAAAAAGGTGTAACATACCGGATGTAGTAAAATAGACAAAAGTACGAAAGAAAAAGTGGAAGGAGCATGTGGAAAGAATGGATGAGAGGAGATTGGCCAGAATATGCATGTATGGACGACTGAAAGGAAAAAGATCACAAGGACGACCGCCCAAGAGATGGGCAATTTGTAATGACCATGAAGCATTTAGAAACGAAAGTTTGATAATGTTGACAATTAGAAATATACATTGTTCGAAGGCAGTAAGGAGACTGTTTATGAGAACCCTAAAGAAGAAAGTGTCTTGTGAGAAAGATAGAAGATGATCGTGTTGAACGTAATTAAATAATCAGAAAACCTATTTAGATAGATATTTATAGAACATTGTTTTTTGTGTTTTTCCGAAAAAAATATCAAATAATTAAAATTGGATTTTGTGTTTAAATACATAATTTATAAAATCATATAAAACTTTAGTAGCTCGTTAAAATTTCATTGAATATATTAAATTTTGTTCAAAACATTGACGAAAATCTGTGATATTGGAATAAAGATTTTTTTTTTAAATACAAAAACTAAACTTTAATTTTCATTGAGCTAGTTTCTACTCGTTTGCATTTAATTTCTATCGTAAAACCGGAAGAGGGTTCTAGTAAAAATTGGTACTCCGGTAGTTGTAAAAGCTTACGAATTTCTGTTTGTTTGCACACGTTCATTCGGAATAAAACTAAAAACTTTCCCGAAGTAAACAAGGCATAAAATAACTTTGAGATCACATTAAATTTTTGATTCGAACGGTTCCCAGGTGAGCGTTTTTTTTGTGTCGAAAAGTTTTTTAAACGTATCTATCGAACAGATTACCTACGCTAGCCCCAATAAACAACAGTACAACAAAAACAAAAGCCCTTCAACCGATCGTCGGCCCGTTTATCCGGATTAAATTTTATCCGGGCCATCCTCGTGTACGGGAATAACTGGAACCAGGTCGCGTATAATGTTTAATGTAGATTTGATTGCTTTTTGCGTCCGGTGAGCTAATAACGCATGAAATCGAGGCAGGCGGCTTTTGCGATTTTGATTTTAGTTTAGAGCAGCTTTCGTCTAGTTTTCAATAAACAGCCTCGTAAACGAGCGTTAATGAATTTTAGTTACACGAAGTTTAATTAACTTTCTACTCTGTACGGGTATTTATTGAATTATCAAAACCACAATCTAGCACAACTATAATAAAATTAGCAAAAAGGTCTGAGCAGTACTTTAATTTTATTACAAATATAATTTTTTTGGTGATTTTTCACTTTTCTAATACGATTTGCATATACAAGGTTTTCAAAGCAGACGATAAGCCAAAATGGTGGAGTGGTATTCTATTCTGCAAAAGAACCAACAGCTTCCGGGCAAAATTGCTATACGGTCGACAAAGCTTCGAATACGGAGATGCGTTCCCCGGAGCGCTTCAACCCTTTCTACCCTTTCTCGTTAATATCATGCGCACTCTAAGCTATTTAACGGCGAGATCTCAACGACCATATTGTACGATATACGAACAAATTTAATTATTAAAATTGAAGCTGTCAAGCATATTAAAATGTATTCAGCAGGACATTCTCATGATATTATTTCATTATTATTTTTACGTTATTAAGTATTTGTAATATACGATGTACAGATAGCAACAAAAGTTATTAAAGAATATATAGTTTCGTTTTAAACGTTGTGGTACTTTGGTTTGAAATTTGAAGACTTATTATAGGTTGGGTTAACATAGTGATGATTTTGATTAATGAAACGATAAAATTTTATTTAGAAGCAAAATAGTCAATATAAATAACTGGAAACCCGACACCACACAGGTAATTGACAAGCCTTGTTTACACCATTCAAACCGAACCAACCCGCAATCGGAGGTCGGACTATTTGCGGTACGACCCTAGCTGCCCGAGTAATGTTTAACAATATGACACGGTCAGCTGACCGTTTGGGTAAAGATCAACTGGAAACGGTTTACCGGATCATTTGTCCCAACGATGAACTTTCCAAATCACGATGTCAAACAACAAAAAACGATTGAAAAATACATTCGTTTTAATTCCAAATCATTTTGAATAACATGAAAAGTGGATATTTGTCGTTTTAAAAACACTCCCACGTCCGAAACCTTCGAGCACATCTTTCCACTCGAAAACAACGAGCACCTAATTCAATTTCGAAGACAGACTGTCAGAGGGTTATCGTAGCACACCCCCGAACAATTTAAAAACCTCTCCGATTCGAAAAGTAATTTATTTCACCCGAGACCTTGTTTACACCAAGCTTGGAGATGATGCGTCGGGATGCAACCAACGGTGGCGCCTGAGGAAGGTTGCGACGGAAGGACGAAACGCCGTCGGATTCTTTAATCACGGCGTTGGCGCCCACGTATACGTCAAATTAAAGTTCCGTTACATCAAAGGATATTTCCACTATTTTCTCTTTTTTTCGATCGTGTCTGCATTGTGAATCTCGTTATGAACCACAAAGCTTTTTCCAAAGCTTCGAATGAAAAATCGACCTCTAATCCAATTGATTTTGATGCTATGGCACATAGGTGAAAAGGACTTTCGTCGTACCCCCGGTTTTTGTTCATTACATGGAGAGCTTATGAAATTTAATAAGTCGGAATTCATTAGGGGTACTATTCTCGGGCGGTGTCCTCTTCTCTTCTAGTTTGGGAGTGCGGAATTTAATTAGGCAACTCACTCTTAGGAGTTATTGTGTTTGCATTTCATTAGCCAAACCGAATCGCCGGCTCGTCTCGCATTAAGTACTTACATACATCATTCTGGCGGAGGCGAACGGTTCTAATATTCAAATGGAATATCGTTTGCCGAAGGATATTAAATTAAATACTTGTGCTTAACCAAATACATCTTTAATTTACTAAATTATATAGAAATTAAAAAAGATGAAAATGTTAATAAATAATTTTAATTTAATTCATCTATTTTTGTGTATTATTATTTTAATGTCCTTTCATAATTATAGGCGATTGCCAAAATAATGATTTCAAAACCCAGGTTATCCGTTTCAATTTTATTTTATCAACGGGCTAATTATATTCCCGCCCGGACAACTCTATCGATATTTATTTCTCTGTGTGCTGCAATTTGCGTATTTATTCTCTGTTTATCACCACGGCATATATTTACTATAATACAGGGTAATACGACACCTAATATCAATTATACATTTAAATTAATATTCCAAACACAAATAATAAATAATGTTATTTTCGTTTAAAATTACGATTAAATCTTTATCTATTTATTATCTATGTATCTGTAGTATCTAGTGTTCTAATAGTATGTTATGTTGTAATTGCGTCCAATTTTAACTTTATATTAAAGAGTTATTTTCAAAAAATTGACATAGTACCTTTGATAGTAATTTATTTAACAAGGTACTAAACAAAAACTTCCAAACCCATTTATGAATTATAAGGGTTGTCCCGAAATATCGTAACTTCCGCATCGACAGGTCAGGTATAAATATTTCATGACGTTATCGCGCGAGATCTCCGCACCCTGAAACTTCAGAAGGCCTTCTCCCTTGTATTTCGAACGCCCATTAAAATGTCGTTTTCCTAAAATATGCTAAACCTCTGATACGGATTTAGATGTGCGATCAATTTAGGGAGAAAATTACCTTTTCCAAAAAAATCTATAACATATTTGTATTGATATCGAAATATTTGCATTATTTATCATAAAATTTAACTAAAACTGGTCGTAAAACAATTTAGTGAACATAACGATACAACGGTTTCAGGACGGTGCGATTTCAGCGCTCGTTTGTCGCCAAATGGGCTGAAATATATGTAGGATCTCGGCGTCGTCGTTGGTGCGACTGTGGTAAACTGCGTGACTGCCCCACACGTCGCTCAATGTACCGGAAAAATCGGTATTGAGTACCGAGTAGAGATTGAACCCGGAACTTGTGACTAAACTAAACGATTTTATGACGGCGACTATCAAAAAGATATTGTATATCCACTTGAAATTTGAATCAAAGTCACATAAAAGTGATATAAGATAAGATAATGTTTATTATGGTGATGTAAACGTTGCGATGAATTATTTTAACAAATTAATAGTGTTGGGATTAAGAAAAGGGATTGTAGTATATCACGTTTTGTTTGTTTAGGTTAACTATGTAAATTTGTAATAGTGTTAGAGTATGAGGAATTTTCGATTAGGGATGAGCTATTTAAAAAATATAAAAACAAATTAATTTCGAATCTGAAATTGCAATAACGTTTCAAAATTGGATTAAACCTCGCTGAATATTTTTACTTATAAACGGAAATTTCGATACAAAGCATCCAAATAAAATTAATTGACTGTTATATTGAATTAAATTAAACAATTTGTCGGTGTTCCCGTTGTTAAAATTTTCCACCTATCGCTCAACCAGAAACCCAAATTCCCCGCGAGGTTTCAATTCGTTGAATTGCAACAATTTTATTTAATTTTAACTATTTTTCGCATTTTATCCATTTATTTTTATCGTTAGATAGCAGATTATATGAAACGGCTGAAAGAAATTAATTTGAACTGAATATCCCTCGAACAATAAAAAGTAAAGTTGGTAGATGTCTTCGACTTGTTCCCAATATCAAAGTTTTTATGTCCGATAAAATGACGAGGAATCAGAGACAGGTGTCAGAAAGAGGTTTTCGTCGAGTCGCCGTTAATTCCTTCCTTCTTCAAGCATAATTCTTTGTTAAGCCATCCGATCTACGGTAATCTGATGCGCGATTACTCTCAGATTTATACACTGACACGCAATTTTGACTACCCGCGGGAAATAAAATTTAATTTCCCCAGAGAAAAATTATACGCTCCATCGTAAAACTGGATTCTTTTTTAATATTTATATTGGCGGTTTAGGATAGAATTTTGCCGCAATAATTACCCGAAATTCGAATATTTGGTAAATGCAATAATGTGAACCGCATAACAACGGTTAATTGGAAATTTCGACAGAAATATTTTTGTAAAATCCCTCGTAGCCAGTTGCATCGGGATAAAATAGGGGAACCCGAAATCATTTATTTGCCAACATCGAAGTTAATACATTGTTTACATTAATGGCCCTTTTTAAAACGATCGTCACAAAATGTTACAATTAGCTTTGTTTATTTGGAAAGTATTGTTCCGAAAGCAGCATTTATAAAATGATTTTGTGGGAAATTCACACATTAACCAAATTAACCAAACAATCCAATTCGACTTTTTACTTTGCAGTGATATAAATAAATTTTTTGGACAATGTAAAATTCTGTTGTATCTGGATATTATACCATAACAGGTTCATTTATCACAAAACCGTAAAAAAAACAGCAAACCAGATTACGTGATTTCATGAAGCTGCGATGCCAGCGTTTTACGCGATGTTACCAGATTATGCCATGCGATGAAGCAGGATCAGACCTGTCCAAACGGGCCCCGTTGCAATCTTTCACAAACGCTTCGACGAATTGACGTGTGACTATCGTCAATCGCTTCCCCGTCAAGTTCGAACTAGTTGGAGTGGTACATTAACAAAAACTTCCAAACAACTATAATCATGATTTAGTTTGTATAAACGAAAATATTTGTTAAACTTTAAAAAAAATCATACCAACTTTATTTATAGGAACTAAGAAACGACTTTCAAGTTAAATTAAAGCTTAAACTTGGATCTTCAAGTCTGTGTGTAATAAGTAATACGTTTGATGATAAAGTTTAGTTGTAAAATCGAAAAACATCATAAGTCTGAATTGGGTGTTTAGTGTTAGAAAAGTGAGTTTTAAAAATGGTGGAGGTGCCGGTTTAAACTAAAACATAAACAACCATAAACCTTAATGTTATTTTAAATGATCGTTCCATTAATTAAAAAGAAAATGGTCGATTTAAAATTATTTGAAGAAATAAAAAAAATTCTGTTCTCATAAAAAAAGTAAAAAGAAAGAAAAGGGACAATTTAATGGTGTACCTGTTATTTTTTAACGTACCATACTAATTACAACGTACGTTGGGCTAACGAGATTTCTTTCTGGCCAGTGCCAACACTGCAACGCTAATTGCTTTATAATTACGGCAGTGATCAAAGGTGTTTTCCGCGGATTGCGGTAGAATTTGGTTGATTCAGCGGTTCGAGTAAACAACGTTGTGTTATTTAATCGCGATGGAATGCGTATATCCGCTTTCCAGGGACCGAATCGATAAATTCTTCGTTGACATGAAACATTTGCGTTATGTTGTAAAACTATAAAGGATAATATTTTAGTACGAAACGGTAAACATTAAAACATTTTTGGTGAATTTATTTATGATTAATTTTTTTTTGAATGTTGAAATTATTTTTTCGGAGATACGAATTTTTAAAATTAATTTATCTACCAGATGATGTCATACGCAAGCCGATCCCCGATTAAATTTATGAAACCGCAGCGCAATATGAAAGTAGATATAAATAAAACCAGAACGACGCCGGAGTTATATAAAATGTAATTATTTTGAACGTGTATGTTTTATCGCGCTGACAAGCAAACGTACCTTTTATTTACATACGGAATTTATTTCAGTTTTATGCAAATTATTCGTTTGGAAATAAAATAATTGTTTGCGGAATCCCAATCTTTTTATTCTTGTTTCGGTTTAAATCGAAATTACGCGAATTAACCCGCAAAATTACGAAATTAAAATGCCTTGAAACAAATAAAACAAATTGAATTAAAAAAAAAACTTTGAAACATTTAATGTGATCTTTTGATAATATCCTTAAAACATTTATATTGTAAACAATAACAGTATTAATGATTTACCACTTTCAGTAATGAATTTAGCCAAACATATGTTCCTTTACAATCCTAAAATAATAATTAAATCAAGTTTGATCATGGAATTGATAAGATTACTAACATTGAAATGTTGAAATTTATACCAAGTGGATGTTGAATCATGCAAAGAATAGTTCAAAAATAATTTTAAGTTGCAATATCAACATCGTACCAATTTGTGTTATTGATATCATTCCTTATAGATGAACTCTACAATAATAAAATGATTTATACAGCAGCAATTAAATTAATTAAATGCTTACATAATTAATGATACGTTGCGCAAGAGTGTGAAGCATCAATAAAAGCCTATTAATTCACACTTAACACTTATTTTTACTTCTTAATTCCATTAAAAATGGGTACATTTTCCACAAAATATTAAACAGTGCTAAAATCATGAAGCAACTATCTTCGAGGGCCAATGCCTCAAATATTGCAATCGATTCTCAAATAGATAACAACCCCAAGTCTTAGACATCTTGACCAAGACTGATACACTTGTTTGTACCTTCTTCGTACAAACACATAAAATATTCAATTATGAGCTTATAATGGTTTATTATCGGTAATAAAATTGTAGCTGCGGTGCAGGAAACAAATAAGGAATGTAAAAGATAGTGGAATTAAAAAAATTACTAAATGTGTTGTTATGCTGAAATTGTCGACAAATCTTCTAAAATCATCAAAGATATATTTAAAGGGATTCAAAAAATCATAACATTATTTAGTTATTACTGTTTTAGTTTACTTTTAGTGTTAGTTCTACTTTTAGTTGAATAAAAATATACAACAATCTAGTGCTGAATGACAATTAAAACTAGATCTAGAACTAGGGAGTCTGAAGACGCACGGCTAAACCCGAAACTTTCTAGTTCTAGGTCTAGTGTTGGTTCTGGTAGTTTTAGTATACAACAATCGAACACTAAATAATAACTAAAACTAGAACCAACACTAACATTACAAGTAACACTGACCCTTGAAGATCATACTTCCCTATTAACAACGTTTTAACATGTTAAAGCAGATTTCTCTAATCGAAATCATAAACGTTTAGTTCCGTAATTCACTATAAGAGGACGCTACATAAACATTTCTTTCATATTTTTTTTGTTACTCAAAAAAATCGCCTCTCAAATTGCCGCATGCTGTTATTTTAACATTTCCTTATCATTTTGAATGGTCCATAAAAAATGATTGCTTATTGTTTTAAAGAGGTCGTAGGTTTTAGATTAGATTATTTTTATGTTTCGTTTATTTTTCATCTAAAAAGTGTCTATTTTTACTCATTAACGTAAACGAATTGTGAACATAGTGTATGCGAGCAGTGTTGTATCAAAAACTATTTCGTTACTTATAAATTATTTGCTATCCTTATCAAGAAAATCAATAGATTTGCGCAAACGCAAATCATTTCGAGTCGAAATCGCGTGGTTTTGGGAAAGCTTTTGGTCGATGTGATGTGTTTTCACTAAAAGTCGTGTTTTTTTATGAAATTTCAAGACATGTTTTTCCTGTTTAAGAAGTAATGTTGGTTCAAACGTTTTAGAGGTCACAAATGTGTCAGGTATGTTTAAATCTAAACACTTTTCCGTTTTGTTTTGATACCTTGTTTTTTTTCTATATTATTGTTTTAGAGAGGAAGAAAATGGTCGATTTTAACATTTTGTCTAATCGTCTTAATGTTATATAATTTGTTATTAACGGCAAAATTAATGTACAAATCGGATTGTTCAAGAAATGTAATTCAAGTCCAAAAAGTAGAAGCACCAAGAAATAAGCCATGTTTAAATGATTTGGGTGAATTTACGGTAACCCAACCGTTTTCAAAGTTAGACTTTCGATTAGGAAGATGGGATAATTCCCGAAATTACAAATATTTCGACAATCTTCTTATTGGTGAGGAATTCGCTGAGTTAGGTGATAAATTTTCTGTTTGTTTGGCAACCCAGAGTACGGTTGAGAGACTCTTCTCAATTGCGGAAGTTGCCAATCAATGGGCAGCTTCGATTTCCTTGGCCGTTTTTGCAGCCGGCGATGACGAATTAAAAATTTTATTGGTTTACATTATTTACTTAAGACAATGCTTCGCGAATATTAAAAATAAAGTAACTTTTCACTTAGCCGTGCCTAAAGGTAGAATGCCTACATCAAACGAAATCGATATCAATGATCTACCAAATATGGACTGCACCAAACCAGAAATAACTTTAAATCAATTGCTCAAAAGAAGATCATCCGCAACCGAAAAATGGAGAAACAAACATCCATATCCACAAAACCATATGCGCAATTTAGCGAGAAAACATTGCGGTTCCGGTTATGTTTTTTTAACGGACGTCGATGTTATTCCAAGCAATAAACAAGCTGAGCTTTTAAATGAATTTTTAAAAGAGACTGATTGCGATGGGAAATGCGCTTATGTTATTCCTACTTATGAATTAGACGATAGGGTTGCTTTTCCACCCAATAAAAGCGAATTAGTTCGACTGGCTAATAAAGGATTAGCGAGACCTTTTCATCAGAAAGTATTTGTTTTTAATCAATTCGCAACAAATTTTTCAAAGTAAAATTATACAATAAAGATAAAAACTCTTGATATATTAATTTTATTTATTTTTAGATGGCAAAACTACAAATCAGAAGAAGATAAAGTTGTTGTTAGCCACACGGTAACTAATTTCGAATTCTTATACGAACCTTTTTATGTTGCACCAGATGATGTACCTCCACACGACGAAAGATTCGTTGGATATGGCTATACTAGAAATACTCAAGTAATTTTTTAATTATTTTCATTTAATTAATTCTTTCCTAATAATTATTTTTTAGGTTTATGAAATGTATGTAGCTGGTTACGAATTTTTCGTTTTATCACCTCTATTCACTTGCCATTGGGGATTACAATTTAAACGCGGCCGACCACATTGGCGGGAAATTCAAAACACCCAAAACAGACATCGCTTTGAAGTATTTAAACACGAGGTATTTGCTAAATACGGCCGAGATCCTTTAGATATGGTATCAATAAGGAGAAGAGCTCGCAAACATCAACACGTTCATAATCATCAAAACGAATAAAAAAATGATGTTGATCAAGGAAAAAGAAACCGTTGAGATGTACTGTGTACATGTATTTTAATAATTTATTTTAAATATATTTTCAACGAAAAAAATCTTTTCGAATGTTCATTTAAAGAGATGGCCGATTAATATTTATTAAGTTTTGGACACAAATTTTAATTTTCAGAAATATAATTTGGGGTGACATCTGCGAAAAGAAAGCCTTGGCCACTTAAAGGTGAAATATGGTTTTCCTAATTCAATATCGCGGTGGCTATAAATAACAATTAGAGGAACGAACCAGGAAAAGGAAGGAAAACGAAAAGACAACCGGAAAAATAACCGGCGGGATGTAATTAGTCATTTTGGGGTCGGTGTTTAATACTTTTGGGAAAGTGCCTCAAAACGCATTCATCAACGTCTCATTTTTTATCTCTGTTTGTTTCGAACTGTTTAAATCCGTAATTTAGGGATTTAACAAAGACTAAAATCTCATTGTATTAGCAATTGAATGATAGCCTCCAAAAAAAATGATTCATAAAATCAGTTCATAAAATTTTAGAATTGGGATATTTTTGAAGTGCATCCACCAACATAGCTAAAGCAATATCTTTTAAGCCGGTTTTTAATTCTATTCTGATTGCTTTAAGCCACTTTTGATCACTTTTGGGGTTTTTAAGCTGAGCTTTTTCAAGAACCGATCTAGCTTTGATTAATAAATTCCTTGTTTCCTTTGCTTGGAAAGCTAAACGTATGATTTCTACAACTAAACCTTCTGCACTTGCTTTTTCTGCACCAATAGCAGTAGCTAACATACTTCTAACAAAATTAGACGGTTTTTGCGTCCCCATCTCAGAACCTGACAATATGCGCCTTTCTTTACTTAGAGATAGTCTATCAATTGATGTTTGTTTCAGAAAATGATGCATATCATTTTCAGGGGGGTTGCTAATAACATCATAGATTTGGGAAATTACATCGATTGGTAATTTTACAATAACTAGATTATATTTTGATTTATCATTAAATATTCTGGAAATGGCGAATTGTGCGTCAACTTTTGTATACAAACAAAAATAAGACGTTGAAAAGTTGAAATCTTGGACAATTTCTCTAATCAAATGTTGAAGGGCAACTTTTGTTCTGTCAACAACGAATTTCTCGAAGAGGTTCGGTTCCAGATTAGTAACGATGTGATTTGTTGATACTTCTAGTAGCGGGGGTGCTTTTCTTTGCTGCTTTATTTGTTGTTTATGTGACACTCTACCTCTCGCATGCGCTAGAACGCCTGTGAGCTAGGGCCTCTGCTCGTGCGCTAGAAAGCGTTAGCTAGGTACACCAGCAAAACAATAAAACATGGTGGAGGATGCATAATGATTTGGGGGTGCTTTTCCTGGTATGGAGTTGGCCTTGGATACAGGGCATTTTAAATCAATGTACTGGAAAATACCAGGTTGCCCTACACTGATGACAGGGTGGGTTTGCTGAAAAGAAAATCGATGTGTTGAAATGGCCAGCTCAATTTCCTGGCCTTAATCCAATCGAGCATCTGTGGAAAGATGTAAAAAGAGCAATTGGTATAGTTTTCGATATTTCTAGTGTTTTTTATGACCCTCAGAAACAGTAGTGGCAGTAATTGTTTAGACTTATTACTATTATTCACGCCTTAAAAAAAAAGAAAAACACTTAAACAGTACTTACAGTACTAATTATTGTTTACATTCTATAAATACAAATTTTACTTTTATATGTATACTTTACAACTAAAATATATTTAAAGACTATATTCAGGTCACACCTATTATGTTGCACAGCTCTGTATATATTAATATTTTTTTCAACTCCTGTATTCCTAAGAAGTAAGTTGTGAAATTATATGAAACAGTTTTCTTTCTAATGAGATACTAAATTGGTGTGGCGCCCTCTTTTAGCGACTAACCAAATTGAAACGTATACTATTTAAAAAAAAGATCACGAAATTTATGTGCTTACAATTTCTCACAATCGATGTCGCTGAAGTATTTTGACACACTAATAATGTATTGCTCATCAATCAATTATTATTAAATATTATGAAATTATGTGATCATATTTTAATTGAAACAATTATAATCTAATTAAGTGGATTTATTATAACTTTTATAAAACAGATTTTTTTTATTTACCTAATTTATTTGTTATTATTAAATTCATCATCGATGACGTTTGTTTCATCAGAGATAATAGGATAAGGTTCGAGGAAAGTTGCATGATTTAACAGGTAAAAAAAAACTAAAAACAATTTGATAATTTGTTACAAAATAAATATTTATTCGTAATCTGATTAAGTTGGATTGGAAAACAATAAAAAAGTCGTTTAAAAAATTGTATTAAATAATTTTATTACAATTAAAACATTTCTCGAAAAAGAGATTCTCGAATTTTATAAATCGAATTTGTATAAAATTGAAGACACAAAGAAAGTGAAATAAATTAGGTGGAATGGAGACGATGCGCGATAAAATATAAATTAGGTTTAATAAATAAGTACCTTAATAAATAACAATATTTACAAAATGTATATCATAAAAAAAATGAGTCTAGAGTATATACACATTTCGTCATAATACTATAGGTTGTCATTATCACAGTAACATATAATAATTCAACAATTAAGTCGGCAAGAAAAAGTTTTTTAACACCTCGTAATGATGTCTTAATGTTAATCTTACAGATCCAAATTTTTTTAACATCTCTTTTGATTTTTTTTTTATAATTTATCCCCAAAAAATTCCAAAAACACTATTTTTGCACGAAATAATCACTAGGTTTTTAAATATCACAATAGGTTGTAATAGAAACAACTTTATAACCGTTAAGAAGATGAAGATGATTTCTTGTTCTTCTTTACATTCTGCCCTTTAGACCCTTTCTTTCCTTTTCGCTTGTTTTCTTTCCCATCTTTCCGCCTTGTATTTTTCCCACTTTTGTTCCCTTTTTCATTTCTCCTACCTTTCTTGGCCGGGTGATAAAACTGCGCTAATTTTATTAAAAACTTCTTGTAATGCTTCAAAACTCCTTGATCTTCGATACTGATCGTTGTTCTATCGCTTTGATTTGAAATGGGCAGCGGTACTTCCAAATGATCGATACCTTGCTGTGTCGTTAGATTATGATAGTGGAGGTCATCGCTCATTTCGCAAAGAAGGATGGTGGATTCATTGTAAAGTTTTGTGAGATTAGACAATCTCTTCCCCGCATCAATTTTACCCGCACTTTCAAATTCTCGTTCGGTCAACATACGTATGGCTTTAACGTAAAGTTGAAGTTTCAAGTAAAATTTTACTCGTTGATTTATTTGTTTGGGAACAGTAAATTTGCTAGTTGTAAGTTTCATTTTTGACTGTAGACAAAAAAGAATTAATTAATTATTTGTGTCTTTTTGAAAATTGTAGTTTGATGTACTTACTTTGTCGTACATTCTTCTGAATTCTTTAAGTATTCCGTCGGTTAATCGACGAGTTGTATTTACATGCCATCGGACATTGAAAGCAGGATCTTGAGTGGATCGTTGATGTCTTATTTTGTGACCATTGTAGTGGCATGGATTTTGTATAATTTCGAACACGTTCTTATTTAAATTTTTGTTTGTTGCGGGAGCTGTCGTCGAGGTTGTAATCAATACTGATAAAACCATCAAAAACGAAATCAGTCTGAAGTAATTCACTGCAAATCAAAGAAAAATATCTATTATTAAGTAAGTTGTCGACTAAAAAACTTAATTCTATCCAAAACAGAAAACTCACTTTTTAATTTTAATTTAATACAATTAAGTTAATTCACAAATTTATTAATAAAATAACTGTCTTCAGGGAGAGATAGTCTCGACTCGCCGCGAGCACGCTGATAACTGAGCCACGCTCAACGCGGGTTTCACTAATCTAGACTCAGTTGAGTCATGAGCGAATCCAAGAAGCCAAATCCCCACCTCGCTCTCGGACCGAAATGTGCGATTCTGAGGGTTCATTCGAACTTACCTATAGTGTTGCTTGTGGTGCTGCCAATCTTCAGTCTAAAATCCATTTTTTTCTATGTATCTTCACACTCACTGGTACAAAAAATAAATTTACTCAAACTTTCTTTGGAAAACACGAACGAACCGTTCACGAAGTCGCACTGTAGTTGTCACGTCTCTCTGACTAATCTGTATCTAGTCGAAAACGCCTAGGACGTCAATATATATACTATTATAAAGGGGAGGGGGCCATACTTCTTTTACGAATGTAACAATATTTCAATAGGCTTTAATAGTATTAGTTTAATATCGATTAGTATTAGATCTAATTAACTTAGATTTAATACATATAAAATACGGAAAACAAACAATAAAGTTTCAAGTGCAAAATTGAGTAATAAACGTTCGCAGGTTTTCACCTGTTTTTTAGGAGATTTATAAATTATAAGTGGTGTACTCATGATTATAATAAAATCACTTCAAATATACACGAGAATCAGAATTTTTAAAATAAGATAACTAAAGCTTTGAAAACATAAATAAAATTTATCAGACACACCTCTCATTCTTAAAAACTTAAAAATAGAAACTATTTAATCAATGAATAACTGATTTTAATCAATTTAAATTTATTATTTCACCGATTTTTACTTGTTCTGTAAATACTTTGTAGAAAGAAATGGGTATTCGAGTAAATGATTTTTTTAGGTACCAAACTGGCTAATACAAAATTGAAAATTATCAAATTACACGATGTTTGAATTAATTTCAATTTTCCATCTTAATGATTTTAATTAAGTTATGCGATGAAAATAATAACAAATTACATTCTAATTGATTAATTGTTGGAAAATTCGCAGACTCTAGTCCAGAAAATCCACTTGTGGTAATCCAAAAACAAAATTTTTTGCGATTAAAAATAAATTGATACTGTTAAGATAACAAACTATTATAAGACCTATTTGGTTAGTTTATTGAGTCATCGGATATTATCAGATACGATTGATCAACTTCAAACAGTACAATTAAAAAACTTTGATTTGCAAAGAATATGTTTTGCACAAAAATCATGCTTAAATAAATCAAAAATCATTGACCACGTAATCAAATTAATTTACCCAAAATCGTAAAATATCAAATTTACCAATGTTTGAGACGAAAGATGGTTATAATTCAAAAAATAATTAAGATGGAAAAATATGTTCTGCATCAAACTTGCTTTGAGTTAACTCAAAAATCATTTCGAGTAAGTAATTTTATTCCACCCATCGTTGGTACCAAGTAAACTGATTAAAATCGCAAAATATCAAATATTCACGAAGTTTGAGTCGAAAATTTGTTATAACTCAAAAAATAATTAAGGTGACAAAATATGCTTTACATCAAACTAGGTTTGAATTAACCCAAAAATTATTTCGAGTAAGTAATTTTATTCCATCGACCATTGGTGCCAAGTAAATTGATATGAAATCGCAAAATATCAAATATTCACGAAGTTTGAGTCGAAAATTGGTTATAGCCAAAAAATAAAAAAATGGAATAAGATGTTTGTCATAAAAATCAAAAAACTTTTTCAATAAACAATATTATTCTACATGTCGTTGGTTATCATGTTCATTTTGTATTGATTTCGTTGATTGTTATTGAAATCTTGACAAATTATTCATATTTGGTTTGATTGTAGATTGATAGAAATTTCATAAAAAAATTATTGTGTTTGTAATCCTTGAAGTTGAATAAACATATTAAAACACCTAGTTTACAAATTAAAAGTAAAAGATTTTTTTTTGTACAGGAATTTTCCATCTTAATGATTTTAATTAAGTTATGCGATGAAAATAATAGCAAATTACATGGTAATTGATTAATTGTTGGAAAATTCGCACAATCTAGTCCAGAAAATCCACATGTGGTAATCTAAAAGCAAAACTTTCATAGTTAAGCGATATAAGCATTATATAATAAAAAAAAATTTTTAACGATTAAATAAAAATCAATCTATTACTCCTAATTGATGATGATGTTCAGATAAGAATCATAGAAAAAATAGTAAATTGTTATCAATTATTATTGAATCACCGGATATTATCAGATACGATTTATAAACTTTAAACAGTGCAATAAAAAAACATTGATTTGCAAGAAAAATAAAAAAGTCGACATAATTACGCAATGAATTTGTGATTTGTTCTACTTCAGGATATTTCAGGGAAATCGCTATTCCAAACGGGAAACAGTTTTTAGGATTCCCGTTGACTAATCGTAGTATTCATCGGCAAAGTCTAATTCGTCTAGACACTCCAGACAAAACCCAAGAATATTCGTTCCTACCACGAACGCCGTCGACGTAGGGCGTTAAACGAGGGAATTATCGAAGAATTAAGTTGCGAAGCGAATGACCTATGCAAACCGACGACAAGGTTACGAAACTGGGTCAAGTTCTAGGATTTGGTCGATACTATTTGCTTTCGTTGCAACACAGTTTTGAATGAATCACTTTTCCTTAATGAATCGATTACGGGAATAATTTTTATGGTTTTATGAATCGTGGCTTATTTCTCTCGTACGCGTCTTCTCCGGTGGTTCTTCAGGTGGAGAAGAGAGTCCGATAGAATCGGAGGCAAAAAGAGGACGTCTGAATAATGAGGAGGAGACCACGGAGACGTCTGGGGGCGTAGGTGCGCGTTCCCGATCCTCCTCCAGATTAAGGATCCAACCGTTGACAACGGGAATGTATACGAGATCGACTTCTTCTTGTGGTGACAGAGAAGAAAAAAATTCAAAAGTTTGCTAACCAAAGAGAAAATTATCTGGAATCAATTGCTTTTATTTAAATAACTGTAGAAGTTTGAAAAAGAAAATGATTTAAAGGAAATGGATGGAAAAGGATAAACAAATTAAGAAAGAATGTTAAGTTGATACTTGCATATTGGTGAAGCCATTGGAATAAGTGATACTACTGCTATGGTTTCGAAGAAGAACACTCCGGCGCTCATTGATAAGACTTCCTGTATTTGATATGTTGGTCAACAGCGAAGTTGTCTGAGCTTTCTTCCATACAAATGATGAGTTATTTGATGAGTGTATTTTCCTAATTCTTGATCACCACCTTTTCGGCAACTGGAATGTATAGAGTTCCTGAAATTGGTTCATTTACTAGTTTCTGGCTACCAAAAATTGTTGATAGGTGATCTACATTCAACTGTGTAATGTCGATAAAAATCTTATCCACCCGTTGGGTGGTCGACTATAGTTAACAAACTTCTTTCTAAGGAAGACCTTGGAAAGCCAAGTTGTAATAGTATCGTTGAGGTAGTTTCACTTGGATAAGATTGCTGGTGTTAGTGTCCTCTTGTTCACCACGAGACCATTACCTGTCAGAGTCTAATGGAAAAAAGCTATGAGTATTTGGTCCAAAGTGTCAAAAATTATAACTGTGGACACCTGACACTTGAGACATTAATATTTATTCATCAACTATTTGAACATATTTGGTAAATATTTTATGTCGTATATGACAGTAGTAGAAGAGGAAGTAATCTCTTCTAGATTAAGGTTCATTGCTGAATTATTAGCATCTAAGATTTACTTTTTCTATTTGTGATAAAAGAAATGGTTTGAATCCTGTTTGATTTTGTATATATGTAAACATAGAATATATATGTAGAAAAAAATATAAGAAAGAGAGGATGGAGGACCAGAAGAAGACCCTCCGCGTGTGCGTGTACATGCAGCGCCATTACTTGCTTCATTAGCCCGGACTAATATGACATGATTGTCCGGCGATATGTGTATACGCGGGGCCGTTTTCCGACCGTACAATTACACATGCACTCCCGGCGATTATTCCAATTTAACTTCGCACGCAAGCAACGCCGTGCGGCTACGAAATGCACTAATTGTCGTCGCCGCTCCGGATGGTAGGGGACGCAGAGGAACTCTCGGTCTCTTCTGGTATGTCAAGTCCTTCGAGTCTCCGTCTATGGCCAAACCATTTATTCCACAACAACAACGACGACAGTCGCAAAAAGAATATAACAATCAAAAATTCTCATTTTCGCATATTATTGTTTAGAAATTGCATAAAGATTTGTCATTGGTAATAGCATAATTAAAAAAATTGTTTTTGTTCAATGGCACGTACGTCTAAGTATGTCATTCATAACACTAAGGTGCGTAAGATATTCAACAGCGAATTCTTGATGAACCCGGTTGTTGTTACGTTAGTAATCTACTTAGAACGAATGAAGACGTCAAAACGTTACAGCAGGTGACGTAAGCACTATTTTTTTTAACCAAATAGACTTGGAATGCAGATGGTGGCATTCTTGTATTAGATTCCTCGGGAATCACCTCTTGTGTTTCTTAGAGACGATCGCGCACATGTGCTAAGATGAAAATCGAAGCAAATTTTTTCACGATAAGGATTATAAGGAAAAAGTACTTTTTTGTGTTGATATGGGTTAACATAGTGAAGAGATTTCAAATATTCAACACGCCCCGCAGCTATTGTTTGCGAGGCAAACATCTCAAAAACGTGTTTACTTTTTCGGGCACCGACTGAAGACTGTAAATTAAGAAAAATCTCTAACATCCTAAAGTTATAATAATACATTTTTGGTTAACAAAAAACATACTACAAACAGAACCGCTATAACGTTAAAAGAATCAAAAATGTCTTTATCGTGCTAAAGCAGAAGCATTTAACAGTTGTTCTGACAATAAAAATGTACCGTTTCACCCTAAGACAGGGATGTTTACATCCCAGCTTGATTCACGACGCGTGGGCAGCAGGAATGCGACCGTCTCTGACAGGAATTTTCGAGTCCGTTTACCTCCCATTGTCCTGGCGAAAGGATAACGTCCTCCGGAAGACCGCCGT